ACAATCCCAAACACTCTCTTTATTGTATCGTACAAAATCATTTTTTTTATCAAATATCTATATATGCGAAATATAGATCGGATATTCATAATAATGTATTATATATCAGTTTTAACTAATCATTATAAAACTTACGAAAAAAACTTCCATCTTTGTAAATTAAATTTTTTTTTTCAAATCTTTGATTAGTTATTACAATTTGTAATTATTTTATAAGTATTTTTTTTCCTTTAATCGGTTATTTCTCGGGATTTAAACTTAATGTACCATGTAATTGTATTGAAAAATGAAAAACACCCAATTATATTTGTTGTCAAAACTCAAATGTAGTCAACGTAGGGATATAGGTTACAATTGAATTGTTAGGCTAGATAATAAAAGCTAGTTTTAATATTCATTTACTTCGCCCACCAACCTCTTTAATTTAGCTATATTTTTTTTCACCCTCCTCTTTGCCTATAAACTTTCACTGCTCTCTACGTATATCATTCAATCCACCGGCGTCTTTCAAGAAAGCGCCGGACAAAGAGAGGTAAAGGATGACGAGCGCCGCGCAAATTCCGACGAGCTTCGGCCATGAACTTCGAGAATGTCTTCGTTGCCGCTGGTGAAAACGCACAATCAGGTTCGCTACTCATTTTCCCTAACATCGTTGATCTATTAGCCCTAAAATTCCATCTAAGGTTTTGTATTACCGATTTTGGTTTGTTTTGAGGTTAACCATTTGTACTTTGTAATTTTGAGCCATTTGCATTTTTTGAGCTGTAGTTTCGAGAATCACGAAGTGAGAACTGTAGTTTGTTCAAGATGGAGGAGGATCATGAACGTGTCACGGATTGCACTACCCCTAATTTAACAGGGTAATGATTTACACCCTAAAAAAGCATAGTCCGAATAGCATTTTTTGGGTTCTGTATAAAATTATCCAACTTTTTAGTTCCTTGACTCAAGTCTAGAAGAATTTTTTTTTGTTGACCTGAGATTTCTGGTTTGCAGGCAAATTAATATTTTCCTGGTTGCTACACAGTACACACTTGCAGTCTCAGAAGCCCTATCAGGTTCTCAACTCCAAAGTCCAAACAATCTTTGCTTTTGGCTTTTACCAAAATATATTATATTTTATGTTACATGCAAGAAATATCAATGTGATTTCATTAATTTGTTTCTTATAACATCCTACTTTCATTGTGCTTTGAAAAATCTATTATCATCCAAATACAAAGCAATATTTTACATTGCTATAATTGTATAAAACCAACAAATAAGAAAAAAAAATTGCAAAATTAGAAAAACAATCTTTGCTTCTGACTATAACTAAATAGCAGCATACTTCCATTGTCTTGTTTATTTTTACATCCTACTTCCTATTACTAACTACATTATTGTACTTAAAAAAATCAGCCTCATGAAAACTTTATATTCCCAGAGGAATGGAAACGCAAATACAAACCAAATTTCATTGCTATAAATATAATTGGATGGAGTATTCAGTATAATGTCGTAATAAGAAAACAAATTGGAAGCATAATTCATAAAGAATTTTTTTGAAGGTAGGATTGATTTTGAAATTCTACACACGATTTTGAAGTTTCTGCCTTCGTTTTGAAGCTCTGCACACACGATTTTTAATCCCCTGGATTCCATTTTTGTTTGGCTATCTTTGTCAAAATTATTAGCAATAATATTTTTTCCAATGCCATACGCATAATGATGAAGAACTGAAATTAGGATTTAATGAAATTGAACGAATACAAAGAAGAATTGTACGAAAGATTATGAAAATTAAACACAATCAAGAGATTGTTCCAGGGGAAACCCCTCTCTCACAGCCATAAGACTTGAGCCTATACAAGAGTATCACTATTACCAAAATATCTCCATGCCTCCAAATGAAATCATTCCTACCTATTTATTACTCTCTCTCTCTCTCTCTCTCTCTCTCTCTCTCTCTCTCTCTCTCTCTCTCTCTAACAGATCTTAGCCATTTTCCATATTTACCCTTATTACTTCTTCCAGAACCAGAATAATCCTGTAGCAGCTTTGATTCATTTACCCTAAACACAAGATGTCTATCTCTCATTTTCATATTATTGATCCCCTGAAAGTCCATAGCTAGAAACCCGGGTGCCAAAACTAATGTCTTCATCACATCTGAACAACTACCCATTTGAATGTTTGAATTCATGTATTGTTCAATAATCAACGCCACAAGTCTCTTACAGAATGTGATTTTAACCCCACTAAACACAAAGCCAGGTACCTCTAAAGCAATTACTCTCTGTGGGTGAACTAAAATGTGGGTAGCCCTATTAACTACAAGAATTACCACAATGACCATTGTAATATCACAATTGATTCCTTTTAATTTCACAGTTTTACCTTTTGATTGAGAATTAGCCACAACTCCAAAGAACTCCAAAATTTGACACGATCCAATAGAAGCTTTCCTTGACAATTGACCAGTTAGTACCTGATTAGCATCCCACGAATAGTGATTGCAGTCTTCTTTGTATTTATGACATTTGTGAGACAAGCCGATTTGAGGACCACCGTGAAAACTTAGGTCCTTCTTCTTCCGTTCCTAACATTCTGCGCGACTTGGGGACGGAGATGGCAGTTGATTAGGATAAACGTCGTTATTTTCATTCCAATTAACAATGCGTTGATTAGAGGCCTGATTAACTAGTGGGCTTATAATTTGTTTGCTAGTTAAAAGTTAAAACCAAGTCCATATTTCCATTCAACAATTGTGAGCCCCATGAATCAATTGCAGCCCAATTGTCATTTTCAAGCCCATTGGAAGGGTAACTTAGATAACCCTATTCTAAACGGTTGTTAAACGGAGCCGCTTTCTCCCATGTGCTCCGTTGATGCTCTGTCAGCCTCTCGACATGGAAATCCGTTGCACGCTGCTCTTCTATCACCGATTTTTCTGCTCCCGGAACTTCCCCACCGGAATTCTCCCCGTCACGGAGGATTAAGCTCAAAAACTTGTTTGGTTTTTCCTGTTTCAGACCTGTACCCTTGACACTAGTCTCGAACCATGGAGGTGGTGATGGTGGTATCAGAAACGGCGGTGGTGTTTTGGAATCCTGTTCCAACTCTGTGTCAAGGCAGTCCTGATCGTCATCACCCAAAGCCAATGGAGATGTTGAATCCTGTTACGCTTAATTGGAGACGACGAAGAAGAGAGTTAGGAGAAGTACCATTAATCTTGAAGTGGAGATTCGTGTTCTGAATCTGCTCTTGGTAAGCAATCTTCTTCACTGTTCCTGGCAAGCTCTCCACCACCTCTGATGATTTCGGGATGGAATTGTCATCCGATAAACACTCGGAACACTTGATCATCGGTTCAGAAGTGACTAGAGAAGTATCAAAGCCATTGAACTCTGCTAATTTCTTATTCTTCACTGCCCATGGAAAACGCTCCACCTCTTGTGATGTATTCAGAGTGGAATTGCCGAAACACACAAAACCCTCACTCATAGGAACATGAGCCACAGGTTCTAGTAACGGGAGAAACACACAAAACCCTCACTCATAGGATCATAGGAACATGGGTGACACCCTCACTCATAGGAACATGGGTGACCGAAGAAGTACAGACGTATCCCTAGGAGCATCAATGGGTGACCGAAGAAGTACAGACGTATCCCTAGGAGCATCATCAGCCACGGGTTCTAGTAACGTCACGGGAGAAACACACAAAACCCTCACTCATAGGAATTGAATCTGAAATTCCAGAAAAAGTATCCCTAGGAGCATCATCGGCCACAGGTTCTAGTAACGTCACGATCGAATCTGGAAAAAACTCAGGATCCGGTTGCTTCATCCAAGTCAACATCACATTTCGGAATGCTATTTCTTCTTCCCGTTCACGAGCCATCATTTTGTGAACATTAAACATAATTTTAAATCAACTTACTGAAAAGTGATGTTGTATAGAAAGATTGATTTAAATCAACTGATCATAGTTAACATTAAACATAATTTTAAAATAAATAAAAAATGTGGACCTTATCAACTTACTGTTATAAAGTAGAGTAAGGCGGATATAGGACCCTTCTTTCACAACATTCTTTTAATGTTCATCATAATCCTTTCCTGTTGAAACCACTACTTCTCTAATGCCTTAAAAATGCTGTCTTTTCTGATTTCTTAACGATTAATAGTAACAAAATCAATTAACTTTTCAATTTTTAGGGTTCTTCAAGATTTTATGTTTCCCTTGTGTTTTCTTTGTTATGCACATCAATGGTTGATTGCATGGTAGTTACACATGCGTTTGTTTAATCTTTCAGAAACATAGCTACAGTTTATGCCAAATATGTATAATTTTTGGGTTAATCTCATAAAAGGCATTATATTTTCTCTTTTTTCCGGATTAAACCTCGTCTTTATTCTTTTAATGAAAAAGACATTGCATTTTTTCATATTTCCGATATGGCCCTTTTAGTCATTTTTCTCTAAAAAAAGTTGTAAAATATGAGGGTTTTTTTTTTCTGGAAAAATTAAAAAAGTTGAGGATATATTTGAAAACATTTAGAAGGTTGAGAGTTTTTTCATAAAAAATGAAAAAATATAAGGTTTATTTCATGAAAAAATTAAAGATGAGGTTTAATCTGGAAAAAAAACACAAAATCTAAGGTTTTTTTTTATGAGATTAACCCCAACGTTTTTTAATATTCATTGTTTTTATGGTGGCATATTGCATTGACCTCATTTATCCCTAACATAAACTCAGATTTGTTGTTGGATAGGGATATTCTAATTTCATGAAACTATAAATTGGTTTATAATCAAATTTATTTATTTATTTATTTTTAAATCTTGCATACAGTCAGATTTGGAAAGCTACCTTCGATTTGTTTGTCAACTCTTCCTTTCTCATATCAGGTAAGCCTTACCTCTGCCTTTGTATCTCAGTAATTAGATTTTCAAAGTTCATTTGCTTTTGGTAAAAATTTTTGATGCTTAAAAATCAATCAAGAGGACCGGAGGACATGATCAATGACACTGTGGATACATCGGATATATGTACTGGTTTGAAATGTTATTGGTTTGAAAGCTTATTTTAGTTATAAACATGTATTGAAAGGTATAAAAACGGATATATATACAAAATACCAAACATATAGTTGAAAAGTAAATACAAAATAAAATACCAAACATATAATTGAAACTACAATAATATATAACTGAATCTCCAAGGGTCAGAATGCTTGTTTGTGGGAACCAAGAAATTAGATATCCAAACAACATCTGGTAGACTCAATTGAATGTATGGAACATCAATTTCATCAATTGAGGAAGAATTACAAGATGCATCTACCTCTGCCTTTGTATCTCAGTAATTAGATTTTCAAAGTTCATTTGCTTTTGGTAAAAATTTTTGATGCCTAAAAATCAATCAAGAGGACCGGAGGACATGATCAATGACACTGTGGATACATCGGATATATGTACTGGTTTGAAATGTTATTGGTTTGAAAGCTTATTTTAGTTATAAACATGTATTGAAAGGTATAAAAACGGATATATATACAAAATACCAAACATATAGTTGAAAAGTAAATACAAAATAAAATACCAAACATATAATTGAAACTACAATATAATAACTGAATCTCCAAGGTCAGAATGCTTGTTTGGTGGGAACCAAGAAATTAGATATCCAAACAACATCTGGTAGACTCAATTGAATGTATGGAACATCAATTTCATCAATTGAGGAAGAATTACAAGAGCATCTACCTCTGCCTGCCTTGTATCTCAGTAATTAGATTTTCAAAGTTCATTTGCTTTTGGTAAAAATTTTGATGCCTAAAAATCAATCAAGAGGACCGGAGGACATGATCAATGACACTGTGGATACATCGGATATATGTACTGGTTTGAAATGTTATTGGTTTGAAAGCTTATTTTAGTTATAAACATGTATTGAAAGGTATAAAAACGATATATATACAAAATACCAAACATATATGTTGAAAAGTAAATACAAAATAAAATACCCAAACATATAATTGAAACTACAATAATATATAACTGAATCTCCAAGGGTCAGAATGCTTGTTTGTGGAACCAAGAAATTAGATATCCAAACAACATCTGGTAGACTCAATTGAATGTATGGAACATCAATTTCATCAATTGAGGAAGAATTACAAGATGCATCTACCTCTGCCTTTGGTATCTCAGTAATTAGATTTTCAAAGTTCATTTGCTTTTGGTAAAATTTTTGATGCCTAAAAATCAATCAAGAGGACCGGAGGACATGATCAATGACACTGTGGATACATCGGATATATGTACTGTTTGAAATGTTATTGGTTTGAAAGCTTATATTTTAGTTATAAACATGTATTGAAAGGTATAAAAACGGATATATATACAAATACCAAACATATAGTTGAAAAGTAATACAAAATAAAATACCAACATATAATTGAAACTACAATAATATATAACTGAATCTCCAAGGGTCAGAATGCTTGTTTGTGGGAACCAAGAAATTAGATATCCAAACAACATCTGGTAGACTCAATTGAATGTATGGAACATCAATTTCATCAATTGAGGAAGAATTACAAGATGCATCTACCTCTGCCTTTGTATCTCAGTAATTAGATTTTCAAAGTTCATTTGCTTTTGGTAAAAATTTTTGATGCCTAAAAATCAATCAAGAGGACCGGAGGACATGATCAATGACACTGTGGATACATCGGATATATGTACTGGTTTGAAATGTTATTGGTTTGAAAGCTTATTTTAGTTATAAACATGTATTGAAAGGTATAAAAACGGATATATATACAAAATACCAAACATATAGTTGAAAAGTAAATACAAAATAAAATACCAAACATATAATTGAAACTACAATAATATATAACTGAATCTCCAAGGGTCAGAATGCTTGTTTGTGGGAACCAAGAAATTAGATATCCAAACAACATCTGGTAGACTCAATTGAATGTATGGAACATCAATTTCATCAATTGAGGAAGAATTACAAGATGCATCTACCTCTGCCTTTGTATCTCAGTAATTAGATTTTCAAAGTTCATTTGCTTTTGGTAAAAATTTTTGATGCCTAAAAATCAATCAAGAGGACCGGAGGACATGATCAATGACACTGTGGATACATCGGATATATGTACTGGTTTGAAATGTTATTGGTTTGAAAGCTTATTTTAGTTATAAACATGTATTGAAAGGTATAAAAACGGATATATATACAAAATACCAAACATATAGTTGAAAAGTAAATACAAAATAAAATACCAAACATATAATTGAAACTACAATAATATATAACTGAATCTCCAAGGGTCAGAATGCTTGTTTGTGGGAACCAAGAAATTAGATATCCAAACAACATCTGGTAGACTCAATTGAATGTATGGAACATCAATTTCATCAATTGAGGAAGAATTACAAGATGCATCTACCTCTGCCTTTGTATCTCAGTAATTAGATTTTCAAAGTTCATTTGCTTTTGGTAAAAATTTTTGATGCCTAAAATCAATCAAGAGGACCGGAGGACATGATCAATGACACTGTGGATACATCGGATATAGTACTGGTTTGAAATGTTATTGGTTTGAAAGCTTATTTTAGTTATAAACATGTATTGAAAGGTATAAAAACGGATATATATACAAAATACCAAACATATAGTTGAAAAGTAAATACAAAATAAAATACCAAACATATAATTGAAACTACAATAATATATAACTGAATCTCCAAGGGTCAGAATGCTTGTTTGTGGGAACCAAGAAATTAGATATCCAAACAACATCTGGTAGACTCAATTGAATGTATGGAACATCAATTTCATCAATTGAGGAAGAATTACAAGATGCATCTACCTCTGCCTTTGTATCTCAGTAATTAGATTTTCAAAGTTCATTTGCTTTTGGTAAAAATTTTTGATGCCTAAAAATCAATCAAGAGGACCGGAGGACATGATCAATGACACTGTGGATACATCGGATATATGTACTGGTTTGAAATGTTATTGGTTTGAAAGCTTATTTTAGTTATAAACATGTATTGAAAGGTATAAAAACGGATATATATACAAAATACCAAACATATAGTTGAAAAGTAAATACAAAATAAAATACCAAACATATAATTGAAACTACAATAATATATAACTGAATCTCCAAGGGTCAGAATGCTTGTTTGTGGGAACCAAGAAATTAGATATCCAAACAACATCTGGTAGACTCAATTGAATGTATGGAACATCAATTTCATCAATTGAGGAAGAATTACAAGATGCGATGCAGACCAGGTGCAATTGGAAAAGAAAAAAAAGTCGAAATAAGTCGAAATTAGACTAAAAATCAAGGCGTACGCTTCTGAAAAACGCACCGCCTCTACCGATTCATCTACGATTCACCTGGACGAAGCGTACGTCTCATATCCAACCACAGAGGCGGAGGCCCTAGAGCGGCCATGGTCCGCTTCGCCTTAAGGCGCGCCTCAAGGCCTACGCTTCTGACGAGTTTTAAAACGATGATTAATACTAAATGCAAGAATGCGAGATTTGAAAATACACTGACTGTTAATTTCCACGAGGTACGTATTCGTGAGGCATTTTGGAGGGTAAAAGATTACCTTAATTTTGGTCTAAGGGGTGGCGGTAAGTATTTATTTCATCATCACACGCGCGCATATATATATATATATATATATATATATATATATATATATATATATATATATAATCAGAATGTAAGAAAGATTTATATCAAAAGAATAAAATTATAAATGTATAAAATCAGTTTTTAATTGGTTTTATAATTTATATGATAATTGAAAAATCATTTTTTAAATTATGTAACTAAAACTCCGCTTTTCATGGTAATTATTCCAAAAAATTGAGAAGAAAAACTAGAAACTGTGAAGGAGATCTTTTGAAAACATAAAGAATCCATCCTTAATTAATTTAAGTGAATCTATTAAATGGGAGTTTATGTAATTCCATTTTGTAATTTGCATAAAGAATCAACACTTTAGTGGATACTGAGACTTTTTATATTCAATACTGGAGCATTAATTTGTTTTGATTCAATTGGAATTTAATTGACTAATTAAATTTGTTGTTTCATTTCTAATGAATAATTGACTAGGAAATGAAAATTTATATTTAATATTAGAGAATTAAAGAGATTTGATTCAATAGAAGTTTTTGATATCGGCTTAAATGTGTTTATATTACTTCTTCACTTTTTACCAAATATTTTCCTCTTATTTGATCCGGAATAATATATATATATATATATATATATTATATTATATATATAATATATATAATATATATATATATATATACTAATAGGATACTCGCGCGATGCAGCGGACGTTGAAAGCGGGCTCGACGATTTGTTTCTTTTCATCGGTTACTTTCCGGAAGATCATAGTTAAAAGGTTGTGCGACCATCATTATATTATTGCATCGATGTTAGTTGCATGATTAGTTTTACACGTGCAACGCACTAACGACATGTAATTATCTTCCAGGCATCGATTAGATTAAGACTCAAATACAAAAAATATTTTAAGACGTGGACCAAAGTGAAAAATTATTTGAAGATAGGGACCAAAGTGTGAAATGTTTTGGTCTAGGGGATAAAACTGTCAAAAAAATATCGGAGTTTTGAAGATTTATAAGCAAATGACCAAACCTGCCAAAGTTAGATTAGATGTATCAAACACATTTGGTCGGTCACTTGGTCATTATACAATTTATCAAAATCATCGACTTATCACGTAAATTTTTCTTTCTAATAAAGAAACTTTCATAAATTTGAACTTATTCGCACCTGGTCTTTGTACAATTTGTCAAAATCTCGGTTTTCATCGCTACAACTAATATTATTTTATTTATTTATTTATAAATTTTTTGCATT